CCCTGGCTGTGCTGTCTGTGTCTCTGCAGGAGTGTCAGTCCGTCCGGGCCGAGCCCCCTACGTGGTGGGACACAACCTGCTGAAGGCCCATGCCGAGGTCTGGCACCTCTACAATGACACCTACAGGGCCAGGCAGGGAGGGCTGATCTCCATCACCATCAACTCTGACTGGGCAGAGCCGCGGAACCCGCACAGCCAGGAGGACATCGAAGCCTCCAGGCGATTCATGCAGGTACAGGCACCCCTGCTCACGGCTCTCCTGCTGCTCCCGCCTCTGTCCGTGGGGACAACCCCTCTCCCAGGGCTGGACGTGCCCAGAACCTGAAAGAAAAGGATGAGCCAGAGGCATCACTGCAAGGAAATGTGTCACTCTCCTGTGGGGGCTGATCATGCAGGCGACAGAAACGAGACAAAATATGATGGCAGTGGCAAAAGCTGATTGAATTTACTGCCTTTAAATGGGCATTGCTGGGCACCTCCATGTGCCTGTTTGTTATAAATTAGGGTGTCACCTATAAAGCAGCAGGTGACAGAGATATGGTTAGACCCCTTGTTTTGATACGTGATTTATCCTCCCTTGTTTCCTGGTTTAGTTTTTCATAGGTTGGTTTGCTCACCCCATTTTCAAAAATGGTGATTACAGTGAAGTGATGAAGAGAAGGATTCGGGAGCGCAGCCTGGCCCAGGGCCTGAGCCAGTCCCGGTAAGAGCCCAGGCACACACTGCCCTTGTTGCCCTTGCTGTGCTCAAACCTGCAGCTCTCCTGCGAGGGAAGGGCTGCATTTCGTGACTCTGTTGCAGTGTTCTGTAAACAGATTGTTGTATCCTCACAGAAAGCTTGTAATGTACATTTTCATAGGACCAGAGAACAGTTTGGGTTGGAAGGGACCTTAGACCATCTAGTTCCACAGCAGGGGGGGTTGCCTGTTCCATCTTCACCTCTCTTGCAAACTAAATTTATTAATATAACACATCCTTGGGGTAACAAGTTGGCAGCTCAGTGATACAGTATTTAGACATCAGACACAGTACTTTACCTGACAACTCTGGTAAATTTGTTTTAACTTTTCCTGAAACTGAGTGCTGATCTCCAGCACTGAGAACTTGTTGGTCCCTCCGAATTACATTTCTTAATTTCCATTCCCAGCTCCTCCTGTTTTCTCCCATGTTCCTCCAGAAGGATCATGGTGCCAGTCCCATTCAGGCTGTGTTCTCTGTTTCCTCTTGCAGACTTCCAGAGTTTACTGAGAGTGAAAAGCAAAGAATTAAAGGCACATATGACTTCTTTGGTCTGAACCACTACACCACAGTTCTGGCATACAACCTAAACTTTCCCAGGGTTGTTCAGTCATATGACTCTGACAGGTAAGAGACGAAGTAAATTGTTGGTCAAGTAAAATCTGCACACCTGGAGCCTGGGCCAACTGACGAGTGTAAATTGATAGCAAATAAAGCTGTGGACAGGCACTTTAAGCTGTTATAGCCAGTACTGGGGGAAATAGCCCCAAACAGGACCTGTGGTGCTGTTATTTCCATGATGAACATGAATCTTTGAAACAGAACAGGGAAAATTAGAGGATCTGTTCAAAGAAGGAATCTGGAATTGTGAGTTTCCCAACGGTTTGGGATCAGGTGCAAATAGTTTTTATCGTGTTTCCTGCCTCCAGTTGCACTTTGAACTGTGAGGTTATCCTGCTTTTTAGATACTGCTCCATTTGCTGTTAAACAGTTTTAGGCCCCTCACTGCATTGCATAAATGTGAGTTCAAAGCCTAAACTGCTAAATCACTTCATGCTTAGGTATATATATAAGTAAAGATTTTTCTATTAAACACTTAATTTCATTCCCCAGCTTCAAAAGGTAAAGAATAGGAGCTTATCAGTTTTTAATTCCTGATGGGAATTAAAGTAATGGTGGGACTGCACATGGGGGTGAAATTGTCGGCTTTCCAAAACGTTTCCACAGGGAACGTGTGAAATTGTTGTAACTTTGCTGCTGCACCCCAGCCCCTGTGGTTTGGCCCCACAGGACACTGGGCTCAGTCTTGCATTCCTGTGTGTGGGTGTGCAGGGCAATTTTATCTGCTTGAGCACCACATGATACGCTGGAAAGTAGAATTGGTGTCATGGTGTGCAAAGATTTGGAGCCAACATCACCCCCTCAACCACGGCTGATTTACACAGAACGTGCCTGCAAAGCACAGCAGGAGAAGTGTTTTCTGTAAAAACCTCTCGTGAGTGAGTTTTTTTTAGGGTTGTGGGCAGCAGCCCCAGCTCAGCCCTGGGCACTGCTGTGCTGGGAGCTGGGACTGCTCCTCCCCAGTGTCTCCTCTCAGGGGCGTCGCCACGGTGAGCGACCGCAGCTGGCTGGGCTCGGGCTCCACCTGGCTGAAGGTGACGCCCTTCGGCTTCCGCAAGATCCTGCGGTGGATCAAGGAGGAATACAACAACCCCCCCGTTTATGTCACTGAGAACGGCATCTCGGAGAGGGGGGCCTTTGTCTTCAACGACACTCAGAGGATGCATTACCACCGGAGCTACATCAACGAGGCACTCAAAGGTAGGAGTGGTCAGGTCGTGGGAATCTGATCAGAGCTCTGGAGAGCTGGAGGCTGATGGGGATAAACACTCAGATATATCTAACTTTACTGAACCCACTTCCAAAAGCCTTTGGGCTTACCCAGAACTGCCCATGGACAGTCACAGCTGTGCCAGGAAAGGGGATCTAAGGGGAGAACAAACCCTGGGTTTAGTAGGGAAGGGCAGGTTCCTTCCTTAGCTGCAGCTGGCGAGAGAAGGTACTACTGATGAACACCTATTTTGGCTCCTAGTTTGACTACTGCTGTGTCTAAAAACTGCATTTAAAAAAAAAATAGTAAAAAAACCAACCCCCAAGCGTGTTTCAATTACAGCAGTGCTCAGGCAGCTTCAGGAAAGGGCTTTTTCAGTTTGCTTTTCTGTCACAGTGGGAACTGCCAGCCAGGTGTGCAGGAAGTGCTCATTGACTGCCTCGGAGCAGAGAGGCCCCACAAACTTTTGTTTCACCAACCCTTGCCTTTTGATGGCTTTTCTTCTCTGTTCCCAAACCTTTGTTCCTCGGACAAAAGCTTTGATTTTTGGAGCAGAGAAAAGCAGTCTCCAGGCCTGGGCACTGAATGAACCACCCAGGCTGTAACTTGGCAGCTGAAGTGCCACAAAGCAACCGAGCTGAGTCCACACGGGAGAGAGGTGGGAATGGGGGAAAAAAAACCACCAAAAACCAGTGAGGTGGAGTGTCAAGTGTGGATGTTCTGGAGCATTTCACACTGACCTGTTCTCTCTGGTCCTGCCCCAGCTGTGGTGCACGACGGCGTCGACCTACGAGGCTACACCGCGTGGACCCTGATGGACAACTTCGAGTGGGCCGTGGGCTTTGATGAAAGGTTTGGGCTCTACCACGTCAACTACTCAGACCCCGCCTTGCCACGGCGCCCCAAGGCCTCTGCCAGGTACTACTCCCAGATCATAAACTGCAATGGGTTTCCAGACCCAGCAACGGGCCCACATCCCTGTCTGGAGCCGGAGCCGGAAGGTAAGCGGTGCAGCAGGAATCGTGCGCTTGCATCTGATTCCAATTCCAAAAGTTCTCTGTAATCTACAGAGACATCATTTCCTGCAGTATTCCCTCTAAGGGCTCTTATCGTGCGCAGTCCTTGTTATGGCTGAAGACATCCATGTGCAGGGGTGTCATTCCTGTGTGCAAAACCAGACTGACACTGGCATCCCGTGTGAGAGCCCCTCAGCACACACACACCTGTCTCCATGAAGCAGGAGAGTCATTCCATCAGACTCTTCTCTGACTGACAGAACTGCCCAGGACGTTTTCCAAACCTCACACAGCCAGTACTCCCACAGCATTTTTTTCTAATCAGTTTGGAGTAGTTTGTAGGAATCGGTGTTTTGGGTAAGCCTTTGGAAATGCTGATTCTATCGTGATTTGTGTTCTCTGAACTAGAGGAGGGCAATGGGGGGTCTGGGGATGCCTGAGAAGCCTCACCTGTACTCAGGAATTGCACCATCAGCCTCAGCTGTGCCTCCATTCCGAGCCAGAAATGTGTCACTCCCTGATCCCCCAGAGCAGGGAAGGGCACAGTGTGGAGGCAGGAAGCAGCAGTGCCCAAACCTGCATGGAACAGCTCCCCCAGGCTCTGCACTAACACTTGGTTATTGTTTCCAGTGACACCACCAGACCCCACTCCAGGAGCAGCTGACACCGTGAGCTTCCTGGGACTGGATTTGACATCCCAGAGTGCGGAAATCGCCCTGTACGTGCTTTTTGCTCTTTCAGGAGTTGGAGCCTTGGCCTTGGCTCTTTTTGGATACAAATACGGAAAATTAGCCAAAAGATCCCCCAAACAATCCCACGTGGAACTAAGTAAAATGTAACATTTCCACTTGCTCAAATGATGGTTGGGTTTGGTTTTTCTTAAATACAAAGTCTCTCCCACCAGGAGAAGAACCCTGGTGCTTGTACTGCTGCAGGTTTGTGTCTTGCCTCATCAGAGGTGGCTCCCCAGCATTGTGGTGTTTGCTTTGCCCAGCTTTAAAAGGGGGAGGAAAATCATTTTTCTATGTTAACTGTCTTTTTTCTCCACGGGCATCCTTGGTTTGATTTCTTAAAGACTAAAGTGATTGTTCCTACCTGCACATGAGGTTTCCGAGTTTCAGCTGGAACCTGTTCTTGCTTCAGCATCTTCAGTGGATCTGAGGGGAGCCCCTCAAAGCTCTGCTGCTTCTCAGTGTTTTTAAGATAAGTTAGTGCCTATGCTGGTAAAAATTGGTCTAGAATGTACTGTCCTGGTGCAGCTGCTGCACAGGTTGGGTTTCACCTCCCTTTTCCTTTATGTCACGTACAGCAAAGTCCTTTAAACTGCATCAAAACCTTCCTTTCTCTGCTGTGTTTTGAGTTTCCTGCTCCCCTGTGCCACGAGATCTTCAGAGGAACTTCACGAGACAGAGATGTTTTCTGGAAAATAGTTTATTGAGTGCTTAGGGAATTAAAAACTACAAGGTTTTGCTTGCAGTTGCAGAAGCAAGAAAAAAGTTAAACATAAATTAGTTACCTGATTTGCTACTTATAGTGCTTCTGAAACCCTCATTTTAATCAGTCATTTGTCTACCATGACCTTTATATTTAATATATCTGGCCCTTAGATTCATGTAGCAGAATATTTATAGATTAAAAAGTGCCTTTCTATGGCAGAGGGTAATAATTATGAAAGCTGATAGAGGTTTTTCAGTCTTTTTACTCCTTTGTCTCACCTATACTCACTTGATTTTTCTGACATAGGTGACTCCATTCCATACTCCACCGCAGGAATAAGAATTAAGTAATTCAGTCAGTGTAAAATGAGCCCCACTTGTCCAGAACCTTTAGCTGACTGAGATCAAATAAGAGAAAGGAAAAAAAAAAAAAAAAAGCAGCCAGATAGTAACTGCAGTTACTCAAAACTACATTTGTTGTGTAGAATTTCCATTCCAAGTATTGTTTTCATCTTCTCCATCATCTTGAGTCCTCAGTCTGTATATTTTGCCTTCTTTTTTGAAGTCTTCCCCCCGCTTTTCCACGGCTCGTTTCCTCACTGCTTGCCTAGGGCACAAAGGACAGAGGTTTGAGTCTCCCCAGCAATAATTACACAAGGCAAGCAGCACATGCAATAAACACAAATCACACATCCTTCCTTCTCTTAGCCCCACTCAGAGTTTTCTTCAGCCCTTTTTTTCCTTGGGCAGCAATACCCAGGTGAAAATGTGAGCAGTCGGACAAACTGACAGAATCTCAGTTCCCTGACACTGAGGGAGATGTGGCTGCGGCACCCAGAACAGCCCAGCAGCTCTCCTGGCACAGAGGAGATCTCATGCAGTACAAAACCCCTCAGAATCAGACTCCAGCTGCCTGAGTTTCTTGTACAACCACCCCATAGCCATTTGATGTCTCATTTTCAACACACTACCTAAAGTAAAAAGTATCAGACTAAGGAATAAATATCACCCCAAGCTGAAGTGAAGCCACCTTTGCCGTTACAGCTGAATTCCCTGTTCATAAGTGACTTTTAAAGACAATGCTTTTTCTGGTCTGTAACGGAAGTAAGTGCAGTTCCCCACTACAAGACTGAAACAATTCCAGCTGCCCTGACCTGTTGTCTCACCTGCTCTGCTCGAGGCTGCTGGACGTGGAGGGGGCTGAATGGTCTTGCTGATGAGCTGCTCTTGCCGCAGGCTGCGAGGGGGGTGGGCTCGTAAACAGAAAGTTGCTAATGAACCTCCAAACCGCTAAGAGGGGGTACAGGATCGTGCCCAGGAACTTCCACAGGTCGCTGCCTGAGGCCTGGACAACGGAAGTAGCAGGTCTTCCAGCCTGGCCAGGAACACACAAAGCACATTTGTCAGGCATCGGAGTCACGCTCTTGTAGACAGAGTATTATACACATAATTTAGAAGCAGCTCAGCAGGCACACATTAGACACACAAATATCAGTGCCACCATTTATCTGCTTCAGAAAAACTCCAAATGAATCTTGACAAAAAGCAGAGTAATTTTGCAGTCTGTGTAGACACAGAAAAGCCCCAAATTCGAGCCAAATATTATCAGGGCTGACTAACAGTAAATACCCAGCTGCAGCAGAGCTGCCTGCAGGACAGTGAAAAATGAACCCACACCCACCGGCAGCAACACCACCGAAGCACTGGGTGCTAGCTCCAGGTCCAGTAACTTCTTCCCGTAATCTTCTTTGGTGAACTCCCTCCTGGGAAACATTGTCGCCAGGGAGAAATTGCCGTAAGTGTTACCAACCGTCTGGGAAAACAAGAAGGAAACTCTGCATTTGTATTACATTTATAACTGTTCACTTTCAAACAACTGCTCATTTGCCAGCTGAGTAGATCTTGTGTACCTTGCTAAGATTTCTTATCAAACTATCAATCATCTTCACTGTAGGACACGAGGGATCCTTCACTTTTCCACACCTCTTACTAAGGATCCACGGCAGTGACACAAAGGTGGCACTAGAAAACGATGCTGCCAAAACCCCCTTCAAATACTCACCCAGGAGAGGAGCTGGTGACAACTCCACCACAACCAATAACTAGCTGATGCTACACTGAGCTGTAACTTACCTGTGCAGCAAACTGCCTTGCTTCTTCCAGCCGCGCTTCCGATGGGAACTGGTTGGTGAAGGAAGATCCATCCGGCAGGCGGAACTGGATCCTGGCTATTGCACTGCAGGACACACAGGGGGTCAGTCAGACACAGACACTCACAGACACTCCTGGGGCTTTAGCTTGGTCAGACTGAAATGTGGCACAGAGGGACACTCATCCTACTCCTGGCAGTGCAGGTGGGTTGGACTCCCAGTGGATAAGCACTTGCTTATCTCTCACCCAGCATCTCTTCCAGAACTCCATGCACAGTCTCTGTAGGTCAGAATACTTAAAACAGCAGTGCTGGCATTGTCAGCCACTCTGTCCCCTCATTACCATTCACATCCTCACCTTATGTAGTCCCCCACCCAGCCCCATCATACCTGGTATTTAAATCAAAGATCAGGCAGAAAAAGCTCTTATCTAACCCAAATAACACATGAGGAAAGGTGGTGTTTCATAATCAGCAATGTCAAAAGGATAAAAGTTATCAGAGAACATAATGTTCATGTAAATAGTTATGAATAAAAGTTGGAAAAAAGCCAACTTTTAATGTCACCATTTAAAGAGTTTAATATGGAGACGTGTTGTCAGTAGATTAGGATAGATATTAAATCTCTTAAAAGCTTGTTTCTTTACCTCTCTCCCCCAAAATAACCCTTGTTTCTCTCCAGCAGCTCACCTTCTCTCCCTTTGAGCTGCTTCTTTCCTGGCCTCTATTTCAGCCTGTTTGGCCTGAAGAGCTGCAGCTTTTGCAGCCTCTGCCTCTTCCTTGGATTTTGCAAAGCGAGCTGCTCGCTCAGCACGGTCCTGGCAGGAGGAGCAAAGAGAAACCTCAACGTTCATTCAAACTGATTTTTATGTTTAAATGATAACTCCGCTAGGCTCAAGCAGTATGACAGAAAAGCTGGTATGTCTGTTCAGATAGAAAAGATCGTCACGAACACGAAAGCAGAAGTTTCATTTCACACACAGGAAATGTCACATCAACCCCCAACACCAAAATCACAGGCCTGCAAACAGAGACATGAACAAGCTCTCAAAGTTTCATCACAGAAAGGTTATCACGTCACTACACCAGTGGCCCTGTGAGAGAGAGGAGCAGGAGGGCTGTCCCCACATGCCCGTTTACCATCGCAATCTGCTGCCTGATGCGCTCTCTGGCCGCCTTCTCCTCAGCCTTCTCTCTGTTCCTCTCCTCCAACATCCGTTTGGTCATCTCCTCTTCCTGTCGTCTCTTGTACTCCAGCATTTCTTTGCCAGTTTTTCTCCTTTCAATTTCTTTCTTAATTTCTTTCTGAAGAGAAAGGTATAAAAATTGGGCCACAACTTTTGGACAAGAGAAAAGACTGAGGTACGTCTGTTTCAGAAGGAATTTATTCAAATAAGGGTGTAAAACACCCTGCAAGGGGTTTTATATTTTTGTGTTACCTGTTCTTCTTCTTTCCTTTTCTCTTCCCGCCTCTCTTCCAGCTTTTTCGTTAATCTGTATTTAGGAATGAAGTGAGAAGCATTACTGCAGTATTTGAAGCTGCTGAGGAAGCATTTGCAAACACAGACCAGAACACGTGGAGATGAACTGTAGGACAGTGCTGATACCCCACCAACAGTCATGATGCACTCACATGGGGTGCACCTTCCATACACAGGCAGGTGGGGATTCACCACCTCCTTTCCACCTTTTAGTGGGGTTCCAACACATTCCCTTTGTCCTCTCCCCCTCACTAAATGAAGAATCCTGCATGTTCTTACTGCTGGACCAACTTATGAAGACGTAGAATAATTTACTTACTTAATAACCAATTACTGTTTAGGCCCTGTGGTAACCAACACTAAACCTGAGTCTCTTCTCAGCTATTTAAACCCTCAGGTTCCTTCTGCACTCACTTTCCACAGGGGAACACAGTAATACACAGCACTGACAGCTGCACGTGCATCTGTCTCAGCTCAGGTCTGGGGAAAGGGCAGGCACAGCCAAACATGAGAAGTCAGACAACCAGAAAAATCTTGTTTGTGTGGTACTGTTTTTTTAAAGAGGTAGTTAGCACACGGCTTGGCCTCTTTTTCCCCCTTGAAACAATGCTGTGGATAAATTATGCCAGATTTGTATAATGATTAATGGATTTTTTAAAAAAGCAACATTGATATTTATATTAAAATTGATTTCATTGTCTTAATAGGGTTCAGTAAAAATTATCCCTGTTGTCCAACAACTTCAGAAGAAAACTGGTATTAAGCAAGGAGAAGTTTAAAAACATATTTCAGCATTTAAGTATTATAAATAAATATTTGATTATATAATTAAATAATGTTTAATATTTAAACATAATATATTATAAATAATCCGATTTGCTAAATACGTGTGACTGGGTTTAGGCTGGACAATTCAAATAGTGTCAGCCTCACTAAAACCAAGTTTATACACAAAATCCTGTGTTTAAAATAATCAATGTAAGGGATGAACCATGTTTTGGACCAGATGTTTCCTGATCACCATACTACAAAAACTAAAACTAACTCATCACTGTTCACTGATCAAAGCAAAAGAAGAGTCTCAGAAGAGGATCCCAGTGGATTCTTCAATACCTCTAAACTACAAAAAGTCCTCAAATCAACAAGAAGAAATTAGAAGGCATCTCTGTATAAAACCTAGGTCAGTATTTTATTACACCTGTTTCCAGTGTTTCCAGTTCAATGTTTTAACTCATTCAAAAATTCACAGCAAACATTTGGTCTGTATAAAGTTATACCAAAGGTGAACATTTGTATTTTTCCAGATTCCCTCTTCCCTTCAGAGTACATGAAAAATGAGATTAATTAAATAGCTGTTTAAGTATCAGCCCTTGTATTGTCACAGGCATCTAATCAAAAACAAGGCCACAAAAAGGTTTGCCAGATGACAATGGATTAAAAATTCTGTAATTAAGGCTGTTTCTTAAAAAATAACCAACCCAAACCCCAACAAAACCTCCTGAGAAACAAATACAACACATCAGGAAGTCTGCAAAAGACTTACCTTTCTACCTTGAGAGTAAGATCATTCACAGGCTGAGCATCACTCACTTGCTCATCTGCAGAATTAGTTGCTTCCTGGCTTGCTGCACCACAGTTTGCTCCACCTGCAAGGGATTTACAAGAAAGTAATGCATAAGAGAAAAAATAAAAGTGTATTTCTTTAATGAAAATTACTGTGCTCATTGTTAGCCACAATTTACAGCAGCTGGGGTATCTCAAGGAAATCTGAGGTTCTGCTACTTAGACTTCCCCTCTACAGTTTGATTTCAGGTTACAAACCCACAGAAACTTTTTAATTGAATCCTTTTTCAGGAAAGCATGCACAATTTTTACTGTGTTATAAACCATTCCTCACTCATCAGAACTAAGCACAATGACAAGTTATTCTTCCCCTCTGGACTTGCAAGAAGCATTCTGGAATACCCAAGTTTTTCCTCCACGAGTCCACAGTGTATTATTGCCTTCTATGTACTACCATGTGCATAAGAAAGTTTCTTTTCAGGGAAAAAAAAAAAATTCCAAAGTAAATTAGCAAGCCTTTGTGTCAAAACACTCACCATTACTGGTGGAAGGTCTGGCTGTGTCAGGCACAGCAGGCTCAGAGGAGTTACAAGACTCTGCTGCCCTGGACTGTGTATTTTCTGGAGCACCATCACACTGGGAGGAGGGATGGGGGGCAGGTGACTGAGTGCCATTTTCCAAAGGCCGCCCTTTCCCCGCGTGCATCTAAGAAATTGGAGGAGAAAAAACCTGAGGCCATGATAGTTCAAATGTTTTTCACAGGTTCAAAGGTCAAGAGTGAGCTGTTTTTGGAGAATTAGCCCTATTAGAAGTATAAAACTAGAATTATCACATACTGTTGAGTGTGGTGCAGTCTCATGCATTTCACACTCTTCCTAGTTTTAGTCTTGCACTAAAATTAATCACCAAAGTGATCAAATCAAAGTGATAAAACTATCTACACTTACATTATGTTCCACAGCATGATTTTATAAATTCACATTAAAGAACAGTATTAAAAAACCCCATACATGAGCTGACGAGTATTTAGTATGTCATTCCAGTTTAGAGATCTCAACACATTTCCTCAACACTGCAGGTGTTACACGCCTCATCTGAAGCAATCTGTGAGTCAAAAGTTAATGCAGCACTTCCCCACAGTGCTCCCAGCCTGCTCAACCTGTGTGCTGAACTCCAGCTTGCAGTTCTGCTGTTGGAAGGACCCAGAACCAGTAACTGCCCCTTCCCCAGGGCCATCCCTTGTCCTGAGCACACCCGACAGCCCCAGCCTGTCAGCACTACCTGTTTAACTTTGTGGATCCTGGTAACAAGCTCTTCCACAGAAACACTGCCAGCAATGACTTCCAAAGGGATTCCATTGTCTCCTATGAAAAAGCTGGATGGAACGCACACCACGGGGTCTGCACAGCAACAGTTAAGGGCAGTGAACGACACGAGTTCCTAAAGTGACTTTCAGTCCTTCCTCCAGGAGCTTCCAGCCCAGCACTCTTATCTCTCTTATCTCCACCTGCTCCCCAGCTGGCAGTGCCAGGGCAGGAAGGAAAAAGAGACACTGGCAAACACTGCACACCAGTGATAAGTATTGCTGCTTTTCTTTGTACTGGTTTAACCAAAAATATTTTTCTCTGACTTTTCCGGCCACTGACTGTGCTTTGACTGGAGAGACGTTGGGGGCAGATTGTTTTAGTGTCAGACATCTTCAGGGGACAACAATGAATTCTCTACAGCATTGAGGAAATCCAAGCTGAGGTTCTGAATCCCCTTTCCCAGCATCTTACAGAGCCCTGTGCAGTGACCCCCTTAAGGCAGGCAGATGTTTCCCTGACAGAACCCTGCCAATGCTTGTTCTTCCTCCCCCAGATCTCTGAGCCCCAGCTAATAACTGAGAGCTGCTTAGTAATACCAGTGGTTATTCTGTGACATAAATTTGAGATCATTTTCTATTTAGAGAATTACATAGGATTAACATAAACTTGTTCACTTTCTCTAGGAACTCCCAGTGAGTTGAATACACAGATGGTATCTGTTTATTGCACAGTTTTGTGCCATAATAAGTATTTTCAATAATGTTGCTTGTAAGTACTTGTCTTAAGAACAGTATTAACTTGTAATGAGCAATTATCTGTAATCATAATGTAGCATCAAAACTGATCTCAAAGGATACAAATTTGAGAGAACTGCAGGCACGCTTCACTGTTGAAAAGAAAAGATTCGTTTAGGAGGAGCAATCGCTTTGCAACAACTTCAGATTAAGTCTTTCATCATAAAAATAACTGTCCTACAAAACTATTTAAATACTTGAGAGAACACTAAAAGCAAATGTGCATTGCATCTTCTCATTAACATTCTGCAGAAGTGTTGACATGGTGACAATCCCTGGTTATCACAGTTGACTACATCAGACCGAGGGGAGCAGTGCTAAGAGGCACTTCAGGAAGAAGAAATCTAGTCTGTTGAGCACAAATAATATAGGAAATCTAATCAAATGTCTATAGAGCATTTCAAAATAATACCATTTTGGGAAATGTCAGTGCACTTTGTGCACTTGGACTGGAACACAAATATAACAAAAATAGCTGAGCAATTTACTCAGGAACTTCAATGCTTGTCTATTCTCTGTGTTACAATGGAGGCAAACACATTTTCTCTGGGGCTTTACAGATTTTTATCTTTCTGAATTCATGAAAGGTTTTTAATTCATTATGTAACTTGGCAAATCAAGAACTGCCTCTAGCACTTCATTTGGATTCCAGCTTTTTTTATAGCACTTTCATGTCTCCTCCTGTTGAGAAAGGACAACTTGAAGCATTCTTTTACTAGTACTGGATTACAGTCAGAAATATACCATGAATATCTGCAGAACACAACAGTAAATTCTGACATTTTTTCAGGCCCTAGAGGCTTCAGGAGTACTGAAGTCACTTATGCTCTGGAATCCTGTATTTAGAATTTCTCCTAATCAGGGTGAGGACTTCAAAGCCTCTTATTCTCACCATCAACAACGAAAGATGGTATAAGTGACAGAATCAGAATAGGCTCAAACCTTTTGGTGTCGATTTTAATGGCAACAAACCCATCTGAGGCAGCCTCAGTCACCTTCTCATCTTCCCACCTTGCAGCCATCTCAGTAGATTGTTCATCTTCACCTGCAAGACACAACACATCTGTGAAGCTAAATCCACCCCAAATTGCTTTTTCTGCTGATTTTAGCTTTGCTTCAACTGCTTGGGATCACCTTTGAAAGACACTCTTTCAAGTCAGTGGATAATTTTGCTCCAGATCACCCTCATGACATGCACGGAGCTCCCACAGCACAGAGGGAATCCCTGCTCCTCCCTGGCAGTAAACTTCACCTCCCAACGGGACAAACCTATCAGCCACTTACCCCTCACTGAAAATTTAATTACATACTGCTTCAACAGCTGCTGACAGACAAAACCGTGTTCCCCACTCCTTGGAAACACATAATTCAGCAAAGTTTCACAGTCTGACAGGGTTGGAAAAAATGCACAAACCAAGAAACACTTATTTGCAGGATTACTTGTATCTCAGTTTTGTACTTTATGCTTTTCTTGACGTGAACAGTAGGAGAGGAAAAGGAGTGAGGAGCATAGAGCAACAGGAATAACAGGAGCAGAGGAGCTACTTAGGAAAGAGAAACTGAAAAGGTGTTGTGGGGCCACAGGTTCAGAAGTGTTATTTAATTCAGATGAAACATGTCAATCATCCATTTATCTTCCAAAGCACCAGTTCAGTGAGGATGTGGGTCAATAAATAATTCTGATGAATATTAACCATCTTTCAACAAGTACCCTGGCTTGCCACCATTTGTTTATCTTCAATCTGTATTACTTCCCAGCAGCTTGGAATGGACTTCATGAAGAATCTGAGTCACAAGTATAGCAGTACAGTGGGCCATTATTTGGTGACAACAACAAACCACTTGTTTGCTCCATCGCAGTTGCCATTCCATGCAGTATTTTTGACTTGTCAGGATCAGGAGTTACACGTGGAGTCCCCTGGGGAAGTGCTGCTGTCTGGTCAGGAGGCTTCTCAGAGTGACTCCTATCAACAATATAACCACTCTGAACACCTGGGTTTCAACCAGATGTATCGATTTTCCCTTGGAAGTAACACAGTATCCACCTCTCTGACTGTTATTCTGGATAAGGAAGTAAATACTAAGGCAGGTTTATGTCAGTGGATGCAGCTGTTCTGCCAGGAGCAGGTCAGGCCCCTCTCCTGTTCCCACATGCTCGGAGGCAGCTGCTTCACCACACACTCTTTCAACAGGACATGTGCTCATCCGATTAGGCTACTAAAAATATCTCAAGACTTGCCTAACACTAACTTTTCCACACAAACAACTGCTGTAGAAGAAAGAATGTTGAAAGACACAAACAGGGCAGTTCACAGGACAGTCTGAGATGTGCCCCGTGAATGAAAATGCTGATAACTCACATTTTATAAAGCTCTCTGCCATGATGCACAGATTAATACCGTGACTACCCACTGAAGAGCTGCTTATTCTCACACATCCTTTTGTTTGGATAACCCTTCCTCATTTGGGGGTTAAGGCTCTTTTATTCCAGGTAGTAGTAATTATATCCTGAAATGAAAACTGCCAGGTCACAGGAAAAACATCAGAGAGGTCAAGAGGTGAAGCTTGAACATGACATGACTCATAATTCTGTGAAACACTGAGCCAGCACAACCACCTCAGAATTCTGGCTCCCAAGACCCTCAGACTTCTTGTTTCTCAAACAAAAGCATCACTTTAGTTCACTTGGTGTAACAACCTGCACACGATTGTGTGCACAGTTGCACTTCCTCGTCTCTTAAACTTGGTCAGGTAAATTTAGAAATCTGCACAGGGAAAATAGACACTTCTCCTGCAATAATTTATTTCCTGTATAAGGAACTTACTCAAAACCATCCCAGGGTGTCAGACTTTAACTCCCCTTTTCCTCAACACTCAGTCCTCAGGGAGAAGTGTTTTCCTTTCAGGAGAGAGAGAGAAGCCCAGCTGACTTTTCCATGTCCAGCATTTCATAACTACTCAGTAAGAATTTTGATTCTGGAAATGCCAGGAGAGCCAGGACATGAAGCTGTTCACCTCCTCCTCCTCCTTTGCGTCATTTCACTTATTTAACTTGAAAAGTGCTTTGATACATCGAACTAACAAATAGCTTATGATTGCAAAGCACCATTTCGTAAAAAAAAACAACAAACAAACCATAAAATAAAGCTATGAACAAAGGAAGAAGGGTTTCTACAAATGTTATTAAAAAAGAAACACAAGCATTTTATCTTGAAGCTTTTTGCTTTCACCATCCCCCCTTCATTTCTTAACTCTGAAAAGCCCTTTCTATGAGTGGCCTGGTATTTTCATGATCAGAAAACACTTCTAACCTTTGGAAGGGATAATCTTAAACACCTCAACCAGAACAGAGGGGGTTTCATACCAAATGAACAACTGAACTTTAGATTAATAACTTCAGGAATTAAAGGCGTTTCTTAACTCCGTAGGCTACAAAATCATCTACAGAACAGCTACCAACAAGATACCAGAGAAGAGAATCCCAGAATATCCTGAGCTGGAAGGGACCCACAGGGATCACCGAGTGTCCCTCCTGGCCCTGCATGGACAAACCCAAGGGTCACACCCTGTGCCTCAGAGCACTGTCCAAACACTTCCTGGGCTCTGGCAGCCTTGGGGCCACGGCCACTGCCCTGGGGAGCCTGCTCAGTGCCCGACCACCCTCTGAGAGAAGAACCTTTCCCTGATACCCAACTAAACCTCCCCTGACACAGCTCCAGCCGTCCCTATCTGGGTTCCCCAGCCCTGTTTCTCCACCAGCAGTACTGCTTCCTGCACAGCAGCAGAGGGAAACTGCTGCAGCAATTAACTGATGCCACAGAATAACTCTCTGTTCCCCACACGCAGCTCCCCTGCCTGGTGAGCACAGAAGACTCTACTTAACATCTCACCTTAACATTTAGCATCATTTTCCTAAGGCAGACACTTCACCTCGTGCTCTCTGCAGAGTGTGGAGCCACCCCCTTTATTGCAACTTCCCAGGAGTTCAACAGCACCTTTACTACCCCTACCCCGTTGCATCACCACCACGTGCCCTGAGGGTTTCAAACACCAACCCCAAGAACGTTGGGGTTTCAGCTGTAGACACAAATGGTAAAGGAGAAACCTGGCTGAACAACCTGTGCTTGCAGTCACAAACACAACCTCATATTTAAGACAAATAACCACAGAATCCCTTGCTTGATCAGAAAAACATCCTGGAAGCAGAAAGAATCATTCAGCTCCCCATTTTCTAGAGAGAAAGTAAGTAAAGAGCAAAGGAGAGGAGTGAGGGGCAAAGAGATGGTGGCAAAAACTGGTGATGGACCTACCAGAATTCACTTATTTTGGTCAGGACTGTACCTAACATTTCTTCTCCACCTTTACATTGTGGCCACCTCAAAATTGCAGTTAACTTACAGGTTCAATTTCTCTCACTAATTTTTTTTTTCTTTATTCGTTTTTTATCCCCATAACCACTATTTGGATGAAGTGTCCAAAACAAAACAGAGAACTGAACGCTGCTGAATCCTTGTGTTCCTGCTCAGAAAGCTGCTTTCAAATGCCTGTCTCCAGTGGGAAGTGTGGAGTGTAAAGGCCCAAAGTTACCACCGCTGTGCAGCCTGAAATGTTTCTACCCAAACAACAAAGCCAACCCCTGCTAACATAAAAATAGACTGTTCCTTCAGCACTCTGCATCCTTCAAACACACGTGCTTCCACACGCAGTGAGAAAGGGAGTTCTTGATGCCTCACGATCAGCTGTGCCCAGGTCAGCTGCCCTGATCCCACAATGCCTGGGGGCACCAGATCTTGGCAGAACTCGCCAGCTCTCTGCTTTCAGAGCCATGGCTCGCTGAAGTAACACTGCCCCTTTTCCAGGGCTCACAAGAACAAAACAAAACAAATCCTCACAGCACACCAGTGACAAAACTAGGTTACATCCCTGCAACCAGAAACTCATCTCTGTCACACTCTGCATATTCCTGCATCCACCCAGCCAACATCAGCATCTAAAAGGTCCTGGTTTGTGTACAATTTTTATTTCATAAAAATAGTGGAAACAAGCCATAATATGCACTTTTCAGCCACTCTACCATTGCCCTCCTCAGTGGGCAGGGGGAAAGAGAATAAAATGGAATGCTCGCGGGAGAGATAAGGGCAGGGAGGGATCACTCACCAGTTACTGTCACAGGCAAAACAGACTCGACTTGGGGAAAAATTCGTGTCACTTATTACTAATCAAAAGTCAGAGTAGGATCATGAGAAATAAAAACTAATCTCCCCACCCTTCCTGCAGTCAGTTCCTCACACGTTGTCTCTCTTGCTCCTTCCTTGTCAGGGGCTGGACTCCTCACACTCTTCCCCTGCTCGAGCATGGGGTCCCTTCCCAACTTCTCCAAAGGGAGTCTTTCCCATGACCAGCAGCTCTCCATGAACTGCTCCACCCCATCCTTACTCCATCTGTGGTCCTTGATTTCCAGCAGTATGTTTACTGTCCAGCAGAAAATGCTGTTCTCCAGGTATAAGGAGAGTTGTGTCAACAAGGGAACTTAACTGCACTAACTTTTCTGTTCACATCCCCTTCGGGAGGGAACTTCTCCTCGCAGCCTCACCAATCCCACAGTTCAACAGTTCCCGAGGGAACCACACTAAGCCACACGTTGTTGTTTCATGAGGCATCTGAAATGAAGCCATGAGCAATTAAGGCAACAGTAAAACATAAAGAAACAACAGATGCAGATATGTGAAAGCACAAGAAGTGAGTTAAAGGGCCTGTCTAACCACAGAATATCACAGAACCAATCGCGTTGGAAGAGAATTCTGGGATTATCGAGCCCAACCCATGACCAACCACCACCGTGTCCAGCAGGCACTGAGTGCCACGTCCGGCCTTCCCTTAAACACCCCCAGGGACGGTGACTTCACCACCTCCCTGGGCGGCCCATCCCAGTGTCTAGTGACCCTTTCTCTGAAGAGATCCCCCCTCATGCCCCCCATAGCCTGCCCTGGCGCAGCTCGGGCTGTGTGTCCCCCCACACACACACAGTGTGTCCCAGGCAGGCAGCGCGCTGCGGGGCCGTGCAGATTCCAGTGACACCCGGTTACGAAACACGCGCTGTGGGTGCGAGAGGAGGAAACAAAAACACCACCGACAGCCCCCGACGCCGCGGCAGCGGGAGCCGAGCGAGCGCAGCGGGGCAGAACGAGGGGCAGAGCCCCCACACGGGCCGGGGCCGGGGCTGACACAGCACAAATCCCTCCCGGCGGGCGGCACACGGCCGGCAGGGCTCGGGCGGGCGGGCGGGCGGGCCCCGGGACGCAGCGTACCTGCCACGAACACGACGAAGACGGAGCCGCGCTCCTTGGCGGCGGCGATGGCGGCGGGCACGGCCCCGCCGAACCACATCGTGCGGCCGCGCCGGGATCGGCCGGCACCGCCGGGACCCGCCGGACCCGCCGCCCTCAGCGCACCGCGCCCGCCGCGCATGCGCCAACCGCCCCCGCGCGCCGGCGCTCGCGACACGCCGGGGCGCCTCCTGATTGGCCGCCGCTCCCCCCCTCCCCTCACACCGCCCTCGGGCAGCCGCCATCTTGGAGCTGAGGCGGGGGCGGCGCTTCCTCCGTGAGGGGGAGCTCGGCGGGGGTCGGGCTGTTCTATCAGACAACAGGATGAGAAGACACAGTCTTTAAGCTGTGTCAGGGGAGGTTTGTGTTGGACGTTAGGAGAAATTTCTTCACAAAAAGGGTGATTAAACATTGGAATACTGCGACCGGTTCCGGGCTCCTCGGTACGAAGACAAGGAGCTGCTGGAGAGGGTCCCACAGGGGCCGCAAAGATGATGAGGGGTCTGGAGCATCTCTTTTACGCGGAGAGGCTGAGGGAGCTGGGGCTGTTCAGTCTGGAGAAGAGAAGGCTGAGAGGGAATCTCATTAGTGAATAAAAGTATCTCAGAGGCAGGTGCCAAGATGATGGTGCCAGACTCTTCAGTGGTGCCCAGCGACAGGACAAAGAACAATGGCCATAAACTAAAACACAAGAAGTTTCACCTCAACATGAGGAAGAACTTCTTTAAGTTGAGGGTGGCAGAGCATTAGGACAGGCTGCCCAGGTATGGCTTGGATTCTCCCTCTCTGGAGACATTCCAAACCCACCTGGATGTGTTCCACCTGCTCCAGGTGGCCCTGCCTTGGCAGGGGGTTGGACTGGATGATCTCCAGAGGTCCCTTCCCACCCTGACAATCCATGATCCTGCAGGGCAGGGCTGGAGAAAGGGCCACACATACCCGATGTGCCCCTTGTGCCCCCTGGGGCTGCGAGGGCAGGATGGACACGGCCAACCCCCAGTGCCCACCCTGGGGACAGCAAAGTGTGACTGAGGGGAAGAGCAGGGGGGAAAATGACAGAAATCACTGCTTAATGGGACAAAAATAAAGTGAGGTGTGAGAGAGGCGGGAGGTGAGGCCAGGGCACCCTCCCTGCTCCCAGGCTGTGTGAGGGGCTGGGGCAGCACATCCCACAGAGCAGCCACGCTCCTTGATGGATATCTCACAGTAATGAGGACAGGACAGGTCATTTCAAGTGCTCTGGTAATAACATTTTGGACAAAATGGTCCCCTCAGGTGTTTCTGAAACACCATTAGGACTATGAATGTGTAACTGGGCAACTTGCTGAGGCAGACACTGTGCAACATGGGAAGGCCAAAAAACATGGAGAGTCTTAGCCTGGAAAGCCTTTCACTGGTGTACTTTGTATAACCTGGAGCTTAATTAGAGAAGTCACTGGATAACGACAACTAGAAAAACCCTACAAACCAACAGCGAAAAAGATGCGAGTCAGTGTTGGCAACAGTAAACAAAAGCTGTTCTACCTCTCTCAAGATGCAGCATGTGGAAAATGTGTCGCAGTAATCCTGCTCACTGGGTAAGCCCTGCACACACACGTTGTGCTTCTGTAAGGTTTTTAAAGGAGTAACCATCAGAACATGGTTCTGAGGGGGTTTCGGTATCATTTTGTATTTTTAAATATTTTCTTTCTTCATGGTACAAAACATCTGAGGGCAATGCCAGAGCTTGGATGATATTAAGCTAAACATTTTTTGGGGTGAAATGAGCAAAGAGACATTTCTGTTACACGTGTGCGTGGAGAGGAGGAGTAAGGCTGTAAGGTGTGTTGGTATCCTAAACTCTGCGAGGAATCTGGATGTGTTGCACTAATTCTCGTGGCTTTTCCAGCAGCTACAGTTTGCATTTACTGCATCTCCTTTGAAGTTGGAAGCCAAGTTCCACGGGAAGGGTGAGTGGAGTGCTGAGCATTGGATGTTTGGGCAATTCTTTTGCAAACATGATTTTCAAAATTTCTGCCACCACTTGAAACAAAGAAGAAATTTTGTTTAAATATGGAAGGGCTTACCAGTGACTGGAAAGGTAACTTTTGTGAAGGTGTGCAACCTTTTACGTGCTCAGGAACCATTTATATTATATTTTTAAAATTGTAATTGTCTGAGAGTGTAACTCCCTAACTGTAGAGTCCCTGATTGCTGCTGTTGGATGTGCCTTTGCTCCTGTAAATAATCTGAGAGCCCTTCCTGCCAGTGTCCCTGGAAAGCAGCAGAGGTCTGCAATTTGTAGGCCTAGGAAAAGGAATGGGTAAGAAGTAGAAAGTTTTATTGAGAACTCAGAAAAAATAAGTTGGCAGCTGCAGCATTACCTGGATTCAGTTCCTGGGTGGGGTGTCTGTGTGTTTTCAGCCATTGGTATGGGATACAATACAATGCAAGACAGGCATTTGGATTCTAGGAGAATAATTTGTTCTCCCCCAAACAGCACAGATCCACTTGGATTAAAAAGGAAATGTTTTTATTAGTGAATTCCTGTTTTCAGTTGTCCTGCTGCTTCACCCTGAATCAGTGGTTCATTAACAAATCAAAGTATCAGCTCAGGCCAAGTGAGAAGGCAGCAAATTTGAGTAGCCATGAAGTCAAGGTGTGATGTATTTCCCAGGCTGTGTAAATCCATGTGGTAACTATCAGAGCACTTATCTGACATCCAGCTTCTCTTCCCAAGTACAGACACTACCTTCATGAAGACTGAGCTGTAGAAACATTGAAGGGATGGAAATGAGTCCTTTCATAGTTAGAAGTGTATAAAAATTGCAGCCACAACGATTTTTCATGACCTGTAACATAAAAGTGTTTTGGTCAGTTTTCTCCAAAGCTTCATCTTAACATTCTTTGCCTCAGGGCTCAATGCAGGAACTCAAAGACTGCACCAAGTTTCTATGGAAAAAAATATATCGTGGAGATAAAGAATCATTTAGAAAAGAAACTAGTTGTAATTTTGACTCCCTTTTGGTTGCTGTGAGGAGATTCAGGTGTGATATCATCATCTACCCAAATCCAGCATCAGGTCCATGTGCTTTGAGAAGCCTACAGAGTATGGGACTTACATTTATTTTAATTTTGAATTATCTTTTTGGCTGTAACAGCACAAATGACATGGGATGTTCACAGTCCAGGGATGCATTTTACAATGAAACAGTGTTAATTAAAAATTAAAATCAAACAACAGTAGCCTTTGGTGGACGAGGTAAAAGTTGTATTTGTTGATCTTTTCTGCTTATGCAAGTGCTTTCCCCTAGTTTTAAAAGTTATAACATGTTCTCAGTAAAATGAAACACACTGTATTGCTGCAATACAAGTCCCCACTTCATTCATGCTTTAAAAGTGGCTTTGATGTTAAATGACAGGCAGCTCAAATACACCACAGCACCAGAGGAGTTGTTGGGAACAGCTGGGAATGTGTTTTACATGTGGCAAATTCATGCCATAAAGTGCATTTATTTGCTTTCTAGACCGTGATCCAAACCTATGGAACAAATGCAGTTCCAGGGGTTTTGCACATAGACCTGACCGAGGGACCAGGAAGGTACAAACATCCTGTTCACTTACCAGAGACAGCAGGAAATAGCACAAAATCAGGAATAAACAACACTGGAAAGTGGGAATACGTGAATTCTATGCCCCCTTGTAGATGGCAGAAGCCTCTGACACTTCTGTTAATGGTACCTATGTGGCTTAGAGAGCACAGCCAGATCAACCCCCAAAAAAGTCACTGTCCCCGTGTAACACAGGGGAAAACACCATCAGAAAGGGTGAGCAGCTTGTAGGAATGGAAAGGATCACATTCTGGATTAGAGTACAACTGGCTTAGGAAATGTTCTAGTTTTTTCTTCTAGGGCAATTTGCACTCAATTTACCACTTACTTGATAAAAATTAAATATTTCCTGCATCCCTCCCACTGTTGGGAATACATTCTCCATGCTTCCCTCGCCTTACCTTTTCTTCTCTGGTTGTTATGGGGAAAGTTTATGGAATGAAGCAAGTCATGCAACACTCAGCAACAGTTCCATTTGGTTCAAGATTTAGTTCTTGGGCTGTTTCTTTCTCCATCTCGGAAAAACCCCGTGGAATGTGTTAACTATGGGAAGAGCTGCCCTGCTGGGCTGGGACACCTGTCACTGCACACCTGTCACCTGTGGGCTACTTTTACAGGATTAAAACATCATCTGAAACCGGCCCTGGCAATCAGCAAGAGGGAGCTCCAGAACGTGGGCATTGGTCACGTTCCCTCTGCTGTTCAGAGCAGGGGAACTGCACAGGCTGGGGCTCTTCCATCCTTGGCTCTGGGAGCACTGAACTCCAGCGGTCCTGCAGGAACAACACATACATCCCTTAGCACACAGGAACTCACAGGCCAAGTGCCATCCTTTTAGGAGAGCAGCCAGGGCTGAGCAGATTCACTGCTGGGCCAGGGCTGGAGACTCAACATTCCCCCTCTGTTTTAGAGGAGGATCTGAGCTGAGTTACCTTCAGTCACGTCAATACCTGTTGTTAGAGCATTTCCCAGAATCAAGTCTCATAGCCCAGTTTGTGAGGCTGCATCATTCCCAGACAGCTCAGGTTTCTCAGCTTTCCTCCAGGTACTTCACATGAAGGACTCCAGACTTGAACATGCAGAGGACTGTCCTTGTCACTTCACGATTGGTTGGTTGCTCAGGGATTAGATTTTTTTGTATAAAAGATGAAAATTAACGCACCTTAATCTTTTACCTTTGCTCTGTGAAATGTTTTTAAACACAACGTTTACCCTGAGTTTCCACTTTCAGAAGTTACAAATGCACCTTTTATACAGCAATAGCCTTAAGAAGTGAACAAGTAGTTACAGCAGCAAACCAGTGCCTGAGCTAAAAAAATAAAACCAGGAGCAGCCCTTTAGGGCTTCTGAATAATTTCTCTTTTTTACTTATATAGGGAAACATTTAAAAATGATGGAGGGCAGGATAACACAGACTCAAGAGGAGGAACAGCAACAGTGGTTCTTTAAAAGATTGTAGTATTTTAAAGTTCTTTTCTCACATTTGAAGGGCTCCCAAACATTGATGTGAGTTCAATCCAGGTTTCAGAA